AAATGAATGTGAATATGAACCAATGAATATGGAAATGAATATAAATATGAATATAATGATAATAGAGTTAATAACTAATAACATTTGATGAAAAGAAAGCTTCCTATCCACGCACCATATTGTACAAAGCTTGAACAACCGTCTCCTTTTTGTTCCATGCAGGTTGGCGAGAACTTGTACGGTGTTCATCCAATGTACTTGGTCGTCGAGGAAAATGGGTCGAGTCATGCTGTCCTCTGGCTGAACAGCAATGCTATGGGTGAGGATGTGCTGTGGTTGAGTTTATATTATCATTGTTGTTGTTATTATTATTGTTATTATTATTAGATGTTATTATATTATTATTATTATTATTGTTGCTATTATTATTATTATTTTTTTTATGTTGTCTTGGTAGATTTTTTTTACGTTTGTATGATTTTATTTCTGGTGTTGATTTGTTCTAATTTTGGTTTTCATTTTTTTTTACCTTTTTCTTCTATCCTCTCTCTGTCTTTTTGTCTGTCTGCCTGCTTTTCCCACTCTTTCTCTCTCTCTCTCTCTTTCTTTCTTTCTCTCTCTCTCCCCTCTCTTACTCTCACTCTCTCTATTATCTATCACTATCTGCATGTCTGGGTATTTATCTATCTGGCCATCTATGTTTCTGCTTCTCTATATGTCTCTGTCTTGTCTGTGTATTTTTGACTCTTTCCCTTTATCTGTTCCATGGTCTTTTTTTTTTTTATTTCCTTCCACGTATGATTTCATGTGTCTCTTATTTTGTTTTACGTAAGCATTTATACATACTGCATGTCATTCTGTTTTCTTCTTCTTATGTACATATTAAACGTTTTCCTTTTAAACTGTCCTCCACTTTTTTCCTTCTTCGTTTTCTCTCTTGTATCCTTTTAGGCAGTAACTAAAATAAAACGGCAAAAACAACGACAAACCACAATAACAGCTCTTTAACTCTTTCCTTTGCAGAGGCAGAGACGATGCCCTTGCCTGGCCTGACCTTACGTTCCATCGGGGGCATAATTGACCTGTTCTTCTTCCTCGGTCCGACCCCGGAGCAGGTCGTGGCGCAATACACGAGCGTGATTGGTCGACCGTTCCTGCCTCCCTATTGGTCGCTCGGGTTCCAACTTTGCAGGTGACTCCTCATCATTGTTCAGATCACTATTTCATTATTGTTATTATAATTTCATTTTTATTATTTTTTAAAATATTTGTTATTTCTTTATCATTATCTTTATTAGTATTGCTTTATTATTATCTTTTTTATTATCTTTATTATTATTTCTTTATTATTATTATCTTTTTTATTATCTTTATTTTTATTTCTTTATTTCTTTATTATTAGGTTGGTTATTATTATTAAGATCATTGTTTCTTTTACCTAACACGCATATAAATGTATGTATACGTGTTTATGAACGTATTTTTGTATATATGTGTGTATGGGAAATTACTCATAATTGCTAATTAATGTCAACAGATATGGCTATAATTCCCTTGAGAATCTTACGTCGGCTGTGTCTCGCACTCGGCGCCATGGAATTCCTCAGGTACAGTAAGTTCTTTTTCTTTTTTTTCTTTGTTTTTTTTTACTATTTTGATCTTTATCTGTTATACTGTCTGCTGAATTGTTACTGCTGAGTTATTTTTAGTACCCCAATAATGTGAGGTGACATTTAATTGGCTTATATTTGTTAGGTGGATTTTTTTGCTATTTTCAGGCCGAATAGAAAATAATGATTTAATACGTTCCGAACCATTGTAATTCTTTCCATGGTGTTTGTCAAGTCAGATCTCATGTGACCTCACACGCACACGCACACGCACACGCACACGCACACGCACACGCACACGCACGCACACGCACACACACGCACACACACACACACACACACACACCACACACACACACACACACACACACACACACACACACACACACACACACACACACACACACACACACACCACACACACACACACACACACACACACACACACACACACACACACACACACACACACACACACCACACACACGCACATTTATATATACATATTTATACGTATGTAAAGTTAATGAGGCCACAAGTATTTAGAATGTGTTCAAGAAAACACCATGTCATTTTGTCTTCTCAAACAACGCGCTAAAATATCGCCAGTCATTTGTTTACACTTTGTTTACGTAAAGCATCATCGTGAGTGTGAGCTGATAGGTTTCACTGTCGAGTGTCAGTGTTCATTAAGTTTCGTCTTCGCTCGAGAGTTAGATATAGGCCTACGTTTTATGTTAAAAGATACTGATATTGGAATTAAAATTTAAAAAAAATGTGATACTTCGTCTTTGCTCGAGAGTTAAACATAGGCCTACGTTTTATGTTAAAAGATACTGATATTGGAATTAAAATAAAAAAATTGTGATACATCGTCTTCGCTCGAGAGTTAGATATAGGCCTACGTTTTATGTTAAAAGATACTGATATTTGAATTAAATTTAAAAAATGGTGATACATGTGATTAATGATTGAGTTCGAAAAAAATAAGATGAATTAATATATTTTGCAATAAAAACTGAAGCTATGGTATTTAAAATCCTTGGGTTATTCGTCTAAATTCGGAATTTCGAAAAAAAGTTATAGAAATGCCAAAAAACAGACATGATAACAAAAATAATGACTTTATGTGATCTCCACAGTACAGCCCGCTCGACTCCACGGTACTTAATCAAGGTCATGTTGTGGAAAGAGGAAAACGATGTTTTTTTTAAATTTAAAATACGATCATTATGAATAAATGACCCCCCCATCCCTTCCAACTACCTTCCATCCCTTCGCCCTCCCTCCCTCTCAACCCTACCTCCTTCTCCCTCCCCTCCCTCCAACCCATCACCCCTCTCCTAACCCATTCCCCTCCCCTCCCCCCCCCCCTCCCCTCTCCTAACCATTCCTCTCCCTCTCTCCTATCCCTACTTCCCTCCCTTCTCCACTCCCCCTCCCTCCCAACTCATCTCCCCTCCCTCTCCCCTTCCCTTCCCCCCATCCCTCCTCCCCCCTCCTCTCCCACCCCTCCCTCTCCCACCCTATTCCCTCCTCTTCCCCCCACCTCCCCCCTCCCCTCACCACCTCACCCTCACCCCCTCCCCCTCCCACCCCCCCTCACCTCCCCCTCCCCCCCCCTTCCTCACCTCCCACCCTCTCCCCAGGACGTGCAATACGCCGACATCGACCACATGCACCGGCGTCTGGACTTCACCTACGACGAGGAGAACTTCGCCGGTCTTCCCGATTACATCCGCCAGGTCAAGGAGGAGGGACTGCGCTTCGTCATCATCCTCGATCCGGCGGTCAATGCGGAGGTGAGTTGGGTGCGGGGTGGGTGTGGGGTGGGGTGGTAGAGGGGGGGATGGGGTGGATGGAGATTGGGGTGGGTCTGGGGTGGGGGGGACTGGAGGGAGGGGAGGGGTGGAGGGGTGGAGGAGGGGGATGGAGGGGGGATGGAAGGGGAGGTGGTGGATAGAGGGGATGAAGGGGAGGGGGGGAGAAGGAGGGGAGGGAGGGAGGGAGGAGAGGTGAGGTGAAGAGGGGAGGGGGAGGGGAATGGGAGGAGGAGGAGGAGGAGAGAAAGGGAGGGGTGTAGGAGGGGAGAGGAGGAGAGGGGAGTGGTGGAAGAGGGGAGGAGGAGGGGAAGGGTGGGGGAGGTAGGGATGGGGGAGGGGAGGGGTTGATGAGGAGAAGGTGGGTGAAGGAAGGGAGGGTGGGGAGGGGAAGTATGGAGGAAAACAAGGGAAGAGAGGGTGGAGGAGGAAGAGGTGAGGAGGCATGGAGGAATGGAAAGGAGGAGGGGAAGGGGTGGGAGAGAGGTGGAGGAGGGAGGGGAGGGCAGAGGAGGAAGAAGGGAAAGGTGGAGTGAGTGTGTGTGTGTTTGGGAAGAGTAGGAGAGGGTGAGAGTGTTGGGGAGTGTGTGAGTGTTGACCGAAGGATGGGGGTGTGTATGTTTAGGAGAGGTGGGGGAGCGAGTGTGTGTTGGGGAGGGGTGGGGGAGTGAGTGTGGAGGAGGGGTAGCTGGTGTATGTATTGAGGAAGAGTGTTTATGTTGAGAGAAGGATAGAGATAAAAAAGGGGAAGGGAGGGTGTATCAAATAAGTGTGGCTGAGTGTAGATAGGGTTGGGGTGTGGATAGGTTTGTGGGTATAAAGAAGGAATGGGCGTGGGGTGGGCATGGGTGTGCGAAATTAGTGTAGATAAAACTGAATGTTATCTTTGTTTATATTGATCAACCGTCACCATGACTATCACCAACACAATTATATATCCATCACTATCATTAGTTATTATTATCATTTTCATCATCATCGTCCTCATTAGTTATTATCATTTTATCATCATTATTATTTTCACCACCATCACCATCGCCATCGCCATCACCGTCACCGTCACCACCACCATCATCATCATCATCAATCACATCATCATCACCATCATCCATCATCAATCACATCACCATCATCCATCATCATCATCATCATCACCACCTCATACCATACCATCAACCAACCAACCTCACAAATATCACCACCACACACCTCACAACCTAAAAAGAAACACCATACTTCACCCCCCCCCTTCCCCCATTGCTATTTTTGTCATGTTTCTTTTGTTTCTCCGCCACAGTTGCCAGCGGGAGAATACCCTGTGCACGAAGCAGGTGTTGCCAATGACGTGTACATCACGTGGCCGGAAGGAGAGGCCCCGGATGAGAATTTCGGGGCTGGTGACGTCATGCTGGGATACGTGAGTAAAAGTTGTTAATTTCAAAAGGTTGAAGATTTTTTTTTTTTTTTTTTTTTTGTAATTTTTAAGTGTTTAGTGTATTTTCGTTTGTAATGGATGTGTTTACATTGGCTGATTTATATGGTATCTCTTGTGAAATTAATTATATGTAATGATGATGACCGATAAGAACAGAAGATAATAACAGTAATGATAATCATAATGAGGATGATA